GTTCAATTACTCATTACCTCCCCGTCGCTTCGTGGCCGGTTATATACACCATACTACCCCCAATCTAGTAATCTCCCGACAATTCACGAAGGAACAGGATATTTCTAGAAAGACGTGGCGTGATACTAGTCACGTGACCTCGCTGACGCAACATTATGTTCCAGTATTACTAACCTACCAACCTGATGGATTTGTGTTGGGTACTATATTTTTAAGAGGCATCACTCTTATACTTTTGTAATATAATACGGTTAGTAAAATGCATCATTTATGTATTCTAGTTTTACTGTTATATTTGAATTCGTTTGATGGACGTGCAGTAGGTACTGTATTTTTAAGTTCGGCATCACTGTTAATAATGTTATAATGTAATGCAACTACTTGAACTAGTGAAGTGCATTGCTTATGTATTGTAGTTGCACTGTTGTATTTCAGGTCATGTCTGATGGATGTGTGTGAATGTTCAGACTCACGTAAATGTTACTGTCAGGCGGTGCAAGCCTATGCTCGAGAATGTGAGCGTCAGAAAGCTAACATTGACTTAAATTGGAGAGCACTGACTGGATGTGAAAGTGAGTATAAATATATATAATATAGCAGTTCGAGGTCTTGAAAATAAAGACATTTTGTGTTAGCCTAATCAGGTTTGATCTAGATTGCCGTTACGACTGGCCAGTTCGATCCCTTGTATACCTAACTCATACAAGGTGGGGCAAAAATTGTTATATATTGTTTCATTCAGAGCTTATTTTAATTTTTAACATGATATTTTGAAACAAATAATAATTGAATTGGTTCCGATTTAATACCTTCTTCAGTATCAACCGTACATTGTATAGTTCCAACTGTATAAGTTTTGCCACACCCTGTTGTTAATGTATTGTTCGCCTAATCACTAAATCAGGTTAATACTAGCCTACCGTTACGGTGGGCAAAGTTCTATCATCTGTAGATCTAACTTAAATAACACACATGTATAGGGAATTTTTAGTCAATCAGGTTAGTAGTACTAGTATTAGCTTACCTTTACGAAGGTTGTTTTTCAATCCCCTATAGGCCTAACTCATAAATCACCCACATATATATATATATATATATAACGAATTGTTAGCCTAATCTGGTTACTACTAATCTACCGTTACGTCGGGCCAAGTTCTATCGTCTGTAGGTCTAACTTATGTATATCATACATTATTTAAATATAGCGTCTAGGTCTTATAAATAAAACATAACATGCACATATATTTTTATCCATGTTGAAGGGTATATAATGTTATAAAAGTGCATGCGCAATATTAGTTGATCTTTACAAAATTAGAAATGTAATTGCAGCAAACGAGTTTTTCTTTTATAATTCTCATTTTCAGAACGATTATTGATTACTAGCCTCTCAAACCAAGTTAATGTTTATTATATGTGTTTGTGGGACGGGGTTCTGTAACTTGAAACAAATGGATCAGCGAATACCTAATACAGGTTTAAATAGGATTAGATGTTCTGAAATATGTTATTGTTTATAAGAATGCATTATTTATAATAAATATTTCAATAATAAGATTATAAATAAAAGAGCCACAGCATTACAAGTGAACATTGCTTTTATTTTTGTTGTTAATAGTTTCAGGTGGAGGGATAAAATTAGTTTTTATGAAATATTAGAATAGAAATGGATCGAGAGTTCGCAGCGGTTGAAATGATAGATTTAGTAGCTCAATTTATTATTATTATTATTTTATTTTTTAGATTCACATTGCCCTAAAGGCGCTGTATTTACAGCTTGCGGGCCCCCCTGCAAAAAGACTTGTAGGAACTACAAAAGAAAAAAACCCTGCACGAGACGCTGTAGACCAGGATGTCAATGTCCAGAAGGCACAGTTTTCAATAAAAAGCAGTGCATGCCAATAGAAAAGTGTTATTCGTAATCTACAAACGGCTATTGTTTTGTATACATCCCGGTGACCTGATCTGGAAGAGGTCGTATTGTGTGATAGTGGCGTCCCCTTGTGGTCAGATTGAACCTCAGGAACTAACCTGTTTTGACTGCTTGTACTATGATCTCGTCACTATGAATCCGTTAAGCTTTTTTTAAGTATCAGATCTGTTTAATAATACTCGCCGCTACAGGAAGCATCTTACTACGGTGTGTTGCATTTTAAATTTGCTACCAACTTTATCACTCGGGTTAAGATTATCCTAAAGATTAATCAGGAAGATATGTGAGATGTGTTTTAGAAGCATTTCTTTGTGTTTAAGTTGAATGAATATCATCGTCAATGATGTTTTGTGCTCTAACGTTGTTCGAGTGTAGTATATTGAATAAGTGGCGGTTTTACCAAAAGGTGACCTCACAGATGAAAAAAAAAAAAGGATCAGTATGAATGCTTAAAACAAGGAATTAACATTTCATTATTGATTCTCGAACTTGAAAATACCAGATTTCAATCATATATATATGTTGATAAATGCCGTAATTGACTGAAACAAAATAATGCAAGAAAATAGATGTATAATCAAAATTACCCAAGTAACTTTGTAGATGTTTGGTTACGGATGTTTCATTTTTGGGAAAGACCTTACGTTAGGCTAACACTACATTTATATGTAGGAAGCTGAGTGTGATAAGTGTGTAACAATGTTTTCTATATTTGGAATGAATTGTATAAAAGAATGGAATTGTTTTGGAGAATAATATTTTGAGAATAATTTGTTTATTGATGAAATCATAAAAATGGTTAAAGTTTGAATCTCTATTAGGAATTATGTTTCTATAAAAGCAACATACATTGTTATAGTTTGTATGTTTGTATTTTTCTTTATTTTAAAATGTATTTATAACACTTAATAGAAAATTGTAATAATACAATGTATGAGTAGACTTAAGTCAAATGAGTAGCATTAAGAATGGTAAAATTATTTCTGATTTACACTTTGGAAATTTGTAATTGCGCCCAATTTTATTTTTATTTTCGGTAGTGAAATGATATTTTATCATTTTTAATTTAGTTAAAGGTACGAACGTAAGGGTGGGGATATTATGGCTCATTGAAGCATTATGGAAATTTACTTGAAATGCATCCTTGTAGCGCCATGCTTCCTTTTGAGGTCACTGACCGTTACACAGGTAAGCATGAGGTACCGGAGCTGGGGAGCGTCGAAGAAGTTTTTAAAATGTTTAGTCAGTTCAGTAGACTTGCGCCCTTAGCTTTGAAATTTAGGAAAAGCTCAAAAACTGTTTTTGTGTAGATATATGTTTAATAGTCATGATGATTTACGTTGTGTAAAAACAGTGGGAAACTATCAATTGAATTGTTTGTTTAGCCACGGATTGCAGAAAATATCTTTAAAAGGTATTGAAACGCAAATGATGTGTTAAAATGCAAAAACAAACAAAAACAACGTATTTTGACACGTTACAGCTTGGAAGTAGAGAAGTCACAAATGTTTCAATCATCATATATAAATCCCATTTCGGTTAGGCCTAATGTGGCGAATTCACGAACATGTTACAGCTTGGAAATACAGAAGAGACAAATTTTTCAATCACCTTATATATAAATTCTACTTCGGTTAGGCTTAACTTATGGACACGGTATGCTTGGAAGTAGAGTCATCACAAATGTTTATATCGCCTTATATAAAATTTCCATTAGGCTTAATGTGGCGATCGTATGGATGATATTGATTTGTTTGAAAGTCTTGAGATAAATCTACAAGTGGGATGTAATTCAGTTTTGTTTTGTCATTATTTAATAAGCTTTATAAGAAAATAGTCATATGCTGACAGAAAGATATCTTTGTAAAGTTGAAGTGTAACGAGATACCAATAAGCCTAATTTTTTGAATCATTTGCTGTTAAAACTATGAAGATAAATAGTGAAGAGAAAAAATGCAAAGGAAAAGTTATGGAACTTATTGGTTATTATTGAAGTACACTGCCCACACCATCAGATTACTTAAAATAAGATTAATAGTACATATACTTTTGTGGCTATATTGAAAAAAATGTTGACTAGACTCGTATATATGTTTTGCAATAAATATATGTGCATTCATGTTACCTACAAAATCTTACATTTTTGTACAATTACATAAAACAAATTGCTCTACTACAGTTTAGTTGATCGATTAAGATGTTGATCTTTCTCTTATCATAATTTCTTTCAACTGATAGTAAAGCTTGTAAATGTAATTTTCAATTAAATGCATGTTTAACTTTATTGTTTGATAAAAAATTACTTGTCACAAAAATGGCCCATTACAAATATTTATTGCATATATATATATATATATATTCTATTTTATATCTATTAAATATGTTTTGCTACATTTACACAGAGCCTACTAAATCCTAAGTTTCAAACAGTTTAATAAAAAATAGTGTCGTACGTTGCAGCCATCAGCGTAACGTTATATCAAATATGACATATTGAAAGTCGCATGCAACTAAGTGTGATTTTGGTCATTTCTTTCTTTCTTTGTCTCTTAAGATGTTGATGTGCAAAATACAGGTTAATTTAGGTATCTTATGTCATTACTGTTTAGTTATTTTAAGCTGATATTTTGTTATTTAACTTTCTGAAAACAGTATGATGTGGTGGAATGTGTAGTCGTTGTTATTTTATCATTTGTCTTGAAATCTAGGGGTATTAATGCCTTCAAATATCGTTCAAAACAGATACATTAAGAATAAATATATAATATTTATTGCAATTTACAAACCTAGTGATAAAAAAGAAGTGAGATGCTAGTGCCAGTAACTGGAACATGTTTGGAAGGAAGTTGTGTTAAATCAAACGATATCAAAGAGTTTCAATGTTGGAAACGTACGAGATTGAGTAAAATTAATAATCATTATTGAGAGAAATCGTTAAAATAATTGAAATATTAACTTCACAAAAATACGTAATGTTTTTATTCATTTATTTCTATTTTGAAATTAGACTGTTTCCATTTTTGAAATATATTGAGTCATTTGGGACTGAGGAGCTCGTGTTAGATCTAATGAACAAAACAATCAAAAGTCCCAGTGAGTGAATCTTTTTTCTTGTGTAAAAAATTTGTCAAGCTCTGCTGTCATTACTTGTTTAAACACTATAGTTGTTTGGTATCTTGTCACAAACCGGGAATCCTTTGATTTCAGTTGATTTTATTTATGAAATAATTTTTTAAAATGAAAATAATTTAATTCATTTAAAAACTCGTTTCAACACCAAACACAGAAAATATTTCATTTCATATTTTTTATTTTCAAACAACCTTATTGTTCATTAAATATTGTGCCATGATTGTTACATTTTTGTTAAGCTCATATATTCCATACAAATCTTATACTTGATTTCCAGTATATATATATATATATTACAGATTTCTTTATGTCGTTAATGCATTTTCTGCTCCTTCTGATCTCATTTGGTGCACCTTAATATTTACTCATAGTTGTAAGATATTAATTTATATGTAGCTGGTGGTTCCTTCATTATAAGAAGATTATAGATTGATTTATTTTAACATGAATAAGAAGATTTTTTCAACTTCAGTGTTCTTAGAATTAAAGCGAAAGTGAACACTTTTATTGAAGTAAAGAACTTACAAATTTTATGCTTATACATTTGTATTTGTCAATAATTTTTTGTTATTTTTCTTCATTTTGTCCACCATGATTGCTTGAAAATACACAAGTGTATTGTTTTACATTGCCTATCGAATCTATTCATTGCTGACACATGTTTCATCCATCCAGGGGATACAGAATTATTTGGTTTATAGTATTTATTGAATTTATTCAGTGCTGATATATGTTTATTACACTGAGGGGATATAGAATCACTTGATTTACAGAGTCTATTGATATTATTCATTACTGATGCATGTTTGATACATTAGACGATTGATTAGAGGGATATAGAATCACTTCGTTTACAGTGTCTATTTAAATTATTTATAACTGATGCATGTTTAATACATTAGGAGGATACAGAATCACTTGGTTTATAGTATTTATTTAAACTATTCATTACTGATACATGTATAACACATTCAGGGGATACAGAATCATTTGGTTTATAGTATTTATTTAAACTATTCATTACTGATAC